GCTATATAAAAATTATTAAATCATAATTTACTCTTTTTTAAATAACTTAAAATAAATATAATAAAAAGATACATATATGATAAATATTTTTTTGACTAAAAGTATAAAAAATAGTATTAAAAATGGTACTAAAATTGAAGACATCTATAAACTAACTCATGTTGTTTTTCAATTTTGTAGTTGGTCACTTGGTTGTTTATCAAAATGTAAGACCTAAGAGTATCTTTATTTGTTTAGTTAGATGTGTATTTAGAATAAGATGATGACCTCATATTTTATTCATTTCAATTTTCAATTACTTAATAATTAAATTAAAAAACAGTTTTTTTTTTACAAATTAGTAAGGGGTTTTTTATTAAATGCTTATCAAGATAAATGTTTACCGACAAAATTCAATAATATCGTTTACTTACTGGGTAAGATTTTAGTTTAACAAAACGGTATCGTATGCAATAATTTATCCAGTAAGCACGGTAAGAGTCGTCGTACTCACTTACTGTAACTCTTATTGTGTAAGATACTTATTCCTTTACAAAATTCGTTCTTACCATTTAAAGTTCTTTATCATAAATATTGATTTGTTTACGAAATTCGTCCATGTAGTTTACTGAAACTTTGATTTTAGTAACTTAACTTTGATAATTACACTTTATGGTTTGCATTTCATTACGGTTTTTTATCTCCGACTTTAAAAATTATTAGGAGCTTCCATTTTAACCGGGATCACATGGCCCCTCATGTGAGGGGTATTTTAGTCTTTTTGTGTATGATTTTAATTAAAAGTATCGTGTACAAATGTACACGACAGAAGTACAAGTTGTTAAAGGATTTGAAAATAGAACCACTTATCCTTTCCAACTTCATCCCCTCCCCTACCCATCTCCGACAAACACATCCACCCGACACCTCCCCCTGTTTATGTATTATGTTTAACAGTTACCGTGTTCACTTTTCTCCACATCTCCCTTTGTGCGCCTCCCAATAATGCTATGTTTTCTTTTCGTTGAAACCGTCACTTGTGAACTCATCCGCCCGTTGATGGCTCCTTGTTAAAGTGCTGGTTTGGAAGGTGGGTGGAGATGGGCGGAAAGACAGAAGGAGGTGTCGTTAGAGATGGAGTTGTTAGGGGGGCGGGGGATTGCAGTCGTCAGAGACTGGGGAGGAGTCGTGGGAATGAAGACAGAGATGATGTAGGCAGCGATAAGAGTTGGTCATTAGTTTAGATTTTTAGTTTTTCTAAAGAGTAAATTGCATTTTATGGTTTTACTCTTTTTTAAATTTAGACACTTGTACGATATAAATTACTTTATAAATACCATAAAAAAAACCAAAACACTCCTCTTGTAACTAGCACATAAGGCCATTTAAACAGATGCTACTGACGACTGTTAGGATCAGGGATGATTTCGCAATAAAAACAAATAATAAGGCTACCGTTGTAATTTTGAAGCGATCTCTTGAAAGTAGGGGGTGCATGGTCTCGCTCAATCGTCTCGTTGTATTGGAAAACTTTTTACCGTCTAATTTTGCAACGATCTTTTGAAAGTATAAAACTTCAGACCTCAACTATAAGATGACAAAGACTTGCCATTTCACGTATTAATCTAAAATAAATTGAAATAAAACTAAGGAAAAGTCTAAAAAAACACAACAAACTTTCTTATTTTGAACAGTTTAATCCAAGAACTATTTTTTAAATGAAGAAACCATTAAACTCTCTCATTTTGAATGATTAAGAACCTATATTTTTAAATGAAAAACCATTAAACTTTCACATTTTAAATGACTAGAAGCGTACTCGGGCAATGCAACGAGATACATCGTGATTTTAATATTTTATTTTATTTTTTTATCTCAGTCGATGTTATAATATGG